GAGAGAGAGAAAGAACAGAGCTCATGTGTATCAGAAGGGGTCCCAGGAAACAGGGTGCTATCAAGCTGCTAGTCTGGGGCCTTTGGAAAGGACTTTTGCTGCCTCTGCAAACCAGCTGGTTAGTGCTGTTGGTTCAACCAGGGGTCCAGGGGTTAGTCACATGGTCACATACAGCCTTAGGCAGAGGTACTCACTTGGGAGAACCAGATTGCTCTTCTGGCATTCCTGTCCGGGAAGGACACCCTCAGAACTGCTGCTTTGGGGTCCCAGCCATACTTGACCCCTTTCCATCTCTCATTCTCATCATCCTTGTCTGGAGCTGACTTACTGATGTTCTCAGTAAAAATATAACCCCATTTTATCAAACAATGCATTGGACTTCTAAATTATATAATTTAAATATTTTACTTAATTGAAATAATCTTTACTTATGCTTTAGATGAAATTGCTATTTTAATCCTTTTTCCATCTAAAAGCATTTCCTTTTCTCTATAACATTCTCTCTCTCTCTCTCTCTCTCTCTCTCTCTCTCTGTGTGTGTGTGTGTGTGTGTGTGTATGTTCATGTGTGTGTGTGGAGGCAAAAGGATGTATCAGTTATTTTTCTCTATCACTATCCACCTTATTTTTTGAGACAGAATTTCTCATTAAGCCTAGAACTCACCAATTGGTTAGACTGGTTGGTAAGTGAGCTCCAGGGATCCATCTAGCTCAATCTCCCTTAGTAATGGGGTTACAGGTATGGGGATATATATGCTGGATAGCTTTAGTGTCAACTTGACACACCTGGGTTGAGGGAGCCTCAATTGGGGGATTTCCTCTATTGCCTGGTTCTTTACACATTTTGCAGTGTGTTTTATACATAATGCTGTTTTCACTTTAAAAATACCCTGATAATGGGAGCTACCCAAAAACATGCTGTGAGGTCCAAATTGTTCGTGTTTCAGGCACAATTTTGCCTTTCCTAGGAGTAAATGCTGATTCTAAAGGTAGAGAGGAGATGTAGACACATCAGTAAGCTGCTGATCTCGTGAAGAACACATACAAAGCATCCAAAGAGATTCCCCCTTAAAATACTTTCAAACGAACACCAGAGAACTCATTACTTTTTTCCATAAATCAATATGACAGTTAATAGCTTCTTTCTTATTTAATATATTTTAATATTTTTATTTTATGTGTATGAGTATATTGCTTTCATGCATGTAAGTGTACCAGTGTTCTGCAGTACCTGCAGAGGTCAGAAGAAGGCATCAGATCCCCTGGAACTGGAGCTACAGATGGTTGTTAACCACCATGTGGCTGCTGGGAATCAAACTCAGGTCCTCTGCAAGAGCAGTCAATGCTCTTAACCACTGAGCCATCTCTCCAGTCCCTGTGTATGGTTTTTTATGTGGGTGCTAGGTATCTGAACTCAGTTTCTCATATTTTCAGCAGCACTTCAGCCACTGAGCCTCCCCAGCCACTCTTTAATCATCTTTACCAGAAATATATTCTTTTAAAAATATTTTTATTTATTATTTTTACTGTGTGTGTTGAGCATATTGTCTCACATGTATAAGTGCACCTGTATCGTGCAATGCCCACGGAGGTCAGAAGAAGGTGTTGGATTCTCCTGGAACTGGAGTCACTGATGGTTGTTAGCTGCCATGTGGGTACTGGGAACTGAACCCAGGTTCTTTGAAAGAGCAGCCAGTGCTCTTAACTGCTGAAGCATCTCTCCAGCCCACCCCAAGGTATTCTATATCAATAATTTTTATTTCTCTGTTTGCACTTAATGACTCCTTTCTGTCTTGTCTTAAGAAAACATTTCTTGGGGGCTGGAGAAATGGCTCAGCAGTCAAGAGCACTGGCTACTCTTCAAGAGATGCCAGGTACAGTTCCAGCACCCACATGGAAGCTAACAACCATTTCTAACTCCAGTTCCAGGGGATCTGATACCCTCTTTTGGCCTCCAAGGGCATTGCATACATGGGTAGACATTTACATGCAGTCAAAACATTCATACACATAAAAATAAAGTACAAGTAAAAGAAATTAAGAAAAAACCTTTTTCTTTCCTTTCTTTCTTTCTTTCTTTCTTTCTTTCTTTCTTTCTTTCTTTCTTTCTTTCTTTCTTTCTTTTTCTTCCTTCCTTTTTACACCACCCCCCTACATTTTAATGAAAACAAGAAGCCATATCTGAAACACAGGGAAAACATGTTAACTCTCCTGAAAATATTTCTCTTTTCTCTTTAACCAAAGTCTGGATAGAAGTCTCTCATGTCTGTCCTCATTGTATTTGTCTCCTTTCATTTGGGTTACCTCTCTATATGAGCATGTTAAAGCACAGGGATAAGTCCCTGTCTCAATCCTTAGATTCCAGGAACAGCTGGACCACTCCCTGGGTGAGGGCAGTTATCCATGACTACCCTCTAGAACTGGAGTAATCACCTCCTGAGAGCCAGTTCATCCTCTCAAGCATTAGGAACTTCTTAGACCACCTTGTAGAAGCAGAACCAATGATCACCAGACAACACCTGGACAAAGACTTCCCAACTATGCAGAGCTCTTTCCTCTGCTTCAATACTTTTTATTTATTTATTATTGATTTTTTTGTGTATTTCATACAGAACATATCAAACAATCTTAATCATCTTTACACCCCCATCCCCACTGGCACCCTCCCATAGCCTCCCCTGCCCGAACTGGAGCCCATAATCTGTCATCCCTGTTACTGCCCACTGTGCTGTCAGTGCCCCCAGCCATTCCCCAGTGCAAGTTCATCCCCTGAGTCTAGTCAGCCTATCTAGAGTCCCTTGTTTTAGGAAGATCAGCTCTTCATCTAGCAACAATCAGTTGCTAATATTCCTTCAGATAAAATTGAGGTCTGCCGTTCATTTTCCTGGTTCTATGCTGGGTTACTGTTTGCCTGAGTTTGCATGGGACTTGTGTATGCTGACACCACTGTCACAGAATCATATGAGCAGGTTCCCAAGGAGCTAGCAGAACTCTGTTTCCATATGTTCTTGCACACCCTCCCTGACTCTTACAATCTTTCTGCCCCTTCTTCTACTATGGTCCCTGAGCCTTGGGTGGATGAAGCTTAATAAAGGGGTCCTATCCAAGCATCATTGTTCAGTAGACTCTTGAGCTCTACAATTTGGTCATTTGTAACCTGGCCCTCCACTGCATGAAGGAGCTTCTTTATTGGGAACTGTTTCATTAATGTCCTCCTCTTTATCCCTGTTCTGTGTTCCATGAGCCTTAGGTGTACAGGTTGCTTTGGAGATGTGTCCCTTAGGCCTGGGAAATTCATAGACAATGTCCGTGTGTGACCAGTTGTGGTACTTTGTATTAGTTTCTGACTACTGCAAAAATGAGCTCCTTTGATGAGTGGTGACTGGGATATTTGTCTGTAAATATAAGGATACATATTTTGCACATAGTAAGAAATCACATGAGTCTAGTGATGTGAGAGTTTTGGGGTTTTCTCTAAGCTCTATGCCCTCTCCAGCCATGTGTATTAGGAAACTTGAGTTTCCTCCCTTTGACTGGGCTTTTAGTCAAATTAGGTAGCTGTTGATTGCCCCCAAGATAAAAGTGCCCCTACTGCACCAATGACGTATGTTGTGCTGGCCACTGATATGGTTATTTGGTCTTGAAGCTGGTGTTGGATCATCCATTGATGTTTTCCCTTGGCACTTTCATAGTGTTCTCCAAAGCTATGAGAGCTCACCTTCAGGGGAAGGTGGCTTCCAGGTCAGTTGCAGCTCTATTGCTCCAAATCCTGTGTCTGAGATATGTTCTGTCTTTGGCAGTAGGGTCTTACCTTCAAGTTCTGGGAAGCCATCAAGGGCTGTGGAAATAGCCTGAGTAATTTTGGGAGTCTCTTGGACCACCAAGGCCAACAACTCCAAGGAAGGTATCTCCTGTCTGGCACTGTTTCTTGTTATATAGCCTTTAGCTATACACATGGAGTTACGTAGAGATAATATATGTATAATTTGTCAATAGGTTGTTGGACTAATATGGTTCCTTCTGGTTTTTTTCAATACCTTTTTATTTAAATTAAAAACTTATGCCAGTAGCCCCAAACGGACCTGGACCACCAGAACTTCCTGTTCTCTCAGCCTGACCTCATTGATTAAATCTCTTTTCTCTGTCCCTCACCGTTACTTTGCTTCTTTAATTGACATATTATGACTGGTGGCCAAGCTTTACCTGTGGGGGCTGCTGACACCAGGACTTCTACCCTAAAGTTTCCACTATGAGCTGAAAGGAATTTGGGCTAATTTAACAATTTCAGTTATGTGACTTATAAGTCAGTTTGATACCATATAAACAATATTAAAAATGCAAGTTCAGGCAGATAACACATACACATAGTCATGCATGAAGACAAATGTAAAAAATCAAAGGTGTTTAACTTTAAATTAAATCTATTGTTTGCCAATTTTAAGTGGTCTCATTATTTCCTCCATGGTATTAAGCCACCCTTAATCCAAATTCTGTACTTCCAAGGATATGACTCCTAACAGAAACACCGTAGGCTAGGGATGTAGCTCAGTTGGTACAGTGCTTGCCTAACATGCATGAGACCCCAGGGAGCTTAAAACTAAGCATAGGAGGGCTGGAGAGATGGCTCAGTGGTTAAGAGCACTGACTGCTCTTGCAGAGGAGCCGGGTTTGAGTCCCAGAACCCACACGGTGGCTACAAACCATCCTTAACTCTAGTTCCAGGGGACTCTGAAGCCCTCTTCTGATCTCCAAGGGCACTGCACCATACAGGTGCACTCACATACATGCATGCAGGCAATACACACATACACATAAAATTAAAATAATAAAGGCCCCGTGCAGGCCCCGCCCCGCGGGCCGCGGACCGAGAGGCGGAGGAGCAGCCGCGGGCTTGCTACCACTCACGCGTCCTCCGGGTCCCGAGCTCCGTGGCCGGCGCTCACGGTCGGGGCTCAGCGGGCAGAGGTCTCGGCGAGGACTGAAGATGGGACTGTAGCTGCAGGGACGCCGAGGTTAACATTTCTGGACTCTGTTCTGTGATGCTTGATTCACCTTTGAAGTAATGTGGACAGAAGTTCTCAGATTTGGATATTACATCAACTGGACCTAGCACTGTATATTAATGTTCACTTAAATCAGGACTTGCATAAGAAAGAGAATGGGAGTCTGGCTAAACAAAGATGATTATATCAGAGACTTGAAGAGGATCGGTCTCTGTCTTCTGATAGTGTATACCGCCGTTTTAGTGGGCTCATATCAGGATTTTTACAGTTTACTTGGCGTGTCCAAAACTGCAAGCAGTAGAGAAATAAGACAAGCTTTTAAGAAATTAGCACTGAAGTTACATCCTGATAAAAACCCGAATAACCCAGATGCACATGGTGATTTTTTAAAAATAAATAGAGCATATGAAGTACTCAAAGATGAAGATCTGCGGAAAAAGTATGATAAGTATGGAGAAAAAGGACTTGAAGATAATCAAGGAGGCCAGTATGAAAGCTGGAACTACTACCATTATGATTTTGGTATTTATGATGATGATCCCCAAATCATAACATTAGAAAGAAGAGAATTTGATGCTGCTGTTAATTCTGGAGAACTGTGGCTTGTAAATTTTTACTCCCCAGGATGCTCACATTGCCATGATTTAGCTCCCACTTGGAGAGAATTTGCTAAAGAAGTGGATGGATTACTTCGAATTGGAGCTGTTAACTGTGGTGATGATCGAATGCTTTGCCAAATGAAAGGAGCTGACAGTTATCCCAGCCTCTTCATGTTTAGATCTGGAATGGCTGCAGTAAAATATAATGGAGATAGGTCAAAGGACAGCTTAGTGAGCTTTGCCATGCAGCATGTGAGGAGCACAGTGACAGAACTCTCAACAGGAAATTTTGTTAACTCCATACAAACTGCTTTTGCTGCTGGTGTTGGCTGGCTGATCACATTCTGTTCTAAAGGAAAAGATTGACTTCACAGACACAACTCAGGCTTAGTGGCATGTTGGATGGTCTTGTTAATGTAGGACGGATGAACTGTGACACCCAGGACAACCTTTGCAAAAGTTTGGACATTACAACAAGCACTACCGCTTATTTTCCTCCTGGAGCCACTTTAAATAACAAAGAAAAGTCCAGTATTTTGTTTCTTAATTCATTAGATGCTAAAGAAATATATATGGAACTCATACATCATCTTCCTGACTTTGAACTACTTTCAGAAAATACACTAGAGGACCGTTTGGCACATCATCGCTGGCTCATTTTTTTTCATTTTGGAAAAAATGAAAATTCACATGATCCTGAATTGAAAAAACTGAAAACTCTACTTAAAAATGAACATATTCAAGTTGGAATGTTTGACTGCTCTTCTTCACCAGGCATCTGTAGTGATCTCTATGTTTTTCAGCCATGCCTAGCAATGTTTAAAGGACAGGGAACCAAAGAATATGAAATTCATCATGGAAAGAAGATTCTATATGATATATTTGCCTTTGCCAAAGAAAGTGTTAATTCTCACGTTACCACACTTGGACCTCAAAATTTTCCTGCCAGTGACAAAGAACCATGGTTTGTTGACTTCTTTGCCCCTTGGTGTCCACCATGCCGAGCTTTGTTGCCAGAGTTACGAAAAGCATCAACGCTTCTCTATGGTCAGCTTAAATTTGGTACATTGGATTGTACAATTCATGAAGGACTCTGTAACATGTATAATATTCAAGCTTATCCAACAACAGTGGTATTCAACCAGTCCAGTATTCATGAGTATGAAGGACATCACTCTGCTGAACAGATATTGGAGTTCATAGAGGATCTTAGAAACCCTTCAGTAGTCTCTCTTTCACCTACCACTTTCAATGAACTAGTCAAACAGAGAAAGCATGATGAAGTCTGGATGGTTGACTTCTACTCTCCATGGTGTCATCCCTGTCAAGTCTTAATGCCAGAGTGGAAAAGAATGGCCCTGACATTGACTGGACTAATCAGTGTGGGCAGTGTGGACTGTCAACAGTATCATTCTTTCTGTGCCCAAGAAAATGTTCAAAGATACCCTGAGATAAGATTTTATCCCCAAAAGTCAAATAAAGCTCATCAGTATCACAGTTACAACGGCTGGAATAGGGATGCTTATTCCATGAGAATCTGGGGTCTAGGATTTTTGCCTCAAGCATCTATAGATTTAACACCTCAGACATTCAATGAAAAGGTTTTACAAGGGAAAAATCACTGGGTGGTTGATTTCTATGCTCCTTGGTGTGCACCTTGCCAAAATTTTGCTCCAGAATTTGAACTCTTGGCTAGGATGATCAAAGGAAAAGTGAAAGCTGGGAAAGTAGACTGTCGGGCCTATGCCCAAACATGCCAGAAAGCTGGTATAAAAGCCTATCCGACTGTTAAATTTTATG